AATGGTGGCCCCGATTAGAGGACTTGCAGGAGCTATACGGAGATCATTCATCAGCTTCGTCAGAGTGTAAGGTGCGAGCATACATCATTTACTTGTTGGGATCGACTTTATTTGTCAATAAGAGCGGTGCCAGAGTGAAGCCAAATTTTTGCCCACTTATAGAGGACATCGAGCAGATTGGAGAGTACTCGTGGGGCTCCGGTACATTGGCAAATCTATATCGACAGTTGGGTATGGCTTCACGAGCTGATGCGAAACAGATTTCCGGATGTCTGACATTGTTAGAGGTAATTATTTTATTTGTGTATTTTCTTCAATTATTTAATATAATTAATTATTATATTATTTTTAAATTGTGTTTCATACGTTCGTGTAGTGTTGGATATACGAGTATTTTCCGAATTTTCGACCTCCGACGGTTAAAGCACACGTTATAGGAGAGCCGTGGTGCATGAGGTGGCATATAGCAGACGTGGTTCGAAAGGATAGCAGTCGATTACTTGAGTATCGTCGGATGCTTGATTATTTTACCTGCAACTGATGTAAGTAACTTGTACAATTTATTGTTTCATTTATCTGAATCAACTGTATTATTAATATGTATATTTTATTATAATAGGTTTATTGGACTCCGTTTGGTCCAAATGTGGCACGTGATGTCGAGAAGACACTCCATCACGGTACTATCAGGTTCATGGATACGATCGAGTCTTACATGTCCGATAGAGTCTTGCGCCAATTCGGCTTTCGACAAATTATTCCGGCGTCCCCTATTCAACCGATGTGTGGTTCTAAGAGGGAAAGAAAAATTGTTTCGTATAAAGTACGTTACGAGTCCAATGATCATGCATGGAGTATCCCAAACGTGCACAGACTTGAGCAGACTTACTACGGTCATAGGGCGGATCCAGCTTGGGAGGTTGCTACAGATTACATGGATTGGTATATACCTCGTACTCACCTTCGTGTAGATCCCAGTACCGATTTATTGGAGAGAGCAGAGCCGTCTCCAGTTCCATTCGTGTACGACATCACATGATTGTTGCGTCCGTACTACTACGATCAATTGCCAGCATCCCGTATTCCAGGATATCATATGGTACCAGATGATGTCTTTAGACAGATTCAGGATCTGTGCACGCCATTTTCTGATTATTTACAGTTGCAGCCACCCGATATTCCAAATGATGATATGGATGTTGAGCATGATACTGGACCGCCACGTATGCCATATTCCCAGAGCAGGCGGCACAGGAGGGACTAGTAGCTATTTTTATATTTATTTTTGTTATTTCGTTATTATCAGCAGACTGTTAGTTATTTTTATGTTTTTTTTTATTATCGACACACTTACGTATTTTTAGGTTTATTTCAGTTTCTCGGATTACTACTTGGATAAATGAACAATGTTAATTTTAGGTTTATTTCAGTTTTTTTTTTCATATTATTTGAGTTTTTGTTTTTCATATTATTTTAGTTCTCGATAAATGAACAATGTTATTTTTATGTTTATTTTTTTGCCCAGTATAGATTAATAAATATTGGTAGTTGCCTAGTTGGTCTGGGCAATCTTGTTTTACCTGTTTTACCAAACAGACCCGTGTTCGAATCTTGGCTGCACCGTGTATGTTTTGAATTTTTGACCCAATAGAAAAGGAAATGAATAATTATAATTTAATATTTATTTACAAATTCGCGGTAGCTAAGTTGGTCAGGGTTCTCATTTACTGCCTAATTGACACGTGTTCGAATCTTGCAGCGCAAGTGTGTTTAAATTTTTTTCCCAGAAAAGCATGAAATGTCGTATCTAAGTCCGTTATAATACCCCGTCTCTGTCGTTGCACAAACAGGCAGGGGAGTTGGCAGAAGCTTAATGTTATCCCGTGTTCGAGTCCTGCTTGGAGCCCGAATATTTTGTTTTTTTGATTTAAAAATGCAGTTTGTTAAGAAAGGATACAGTAGCTGAAAAACTATTTCTCTTGGCTGCACATGCAACAGAGAATATTTTGTTTTTTTGATTTAAAAATGCAGTTTGTTAAGAAAGGATACAGTAGCTGAAAAACTATTTCTCTTGGCTGCACATGCAACAGACCGGTATCCGCAGTTACCATCGCCTAACACGTTCTTCCACGTCACAACATCGGGTACAAGTGCAAAATGTAGATTCCGGATAAACTCAGGTTGGACAATGCGTTCCGGTTCGGCCCCACTTTACAGTAGATGAACGACCTCGACTACGATTTCTGCTAGATGAATCAGAAGGTGGACCACGACCTCTACTGCCTCGACGGCCTCTACTACCTCGTGGTCGAGGTTCCCACGCTGACAATTCTCTGTGTGAGGAGTTGTTCCTCGGTCTGCCTCTTGGTCGTTGTACTGACGGCTCATTTAATTCCGTCTCGCCGGGGTGTATTCTTTCAAAAACTATGTCCGCCACATCATTAATCTCAACGTCAGAACGTTGACGCAATTCCTCAACCAATCCTTCTAATCTTCCAAGTGCTTGTGTCCTATGATCGGGGACTGAATCGACACTCTCTGCTTCATTGCCATCCAACAAAATCATGGTCCTCCAAAATTTATGGACATCTTCTGCATAAAACACACCACCACGTCTACTCTCTTTAAGATCAATGTCATGTTTGCAAGGGAGACCGTGAGTGTTCTTCAAGTAACAATTGCAATTCTCGACATTTTTTTTACGCTCAACGTCCAAAAGTTTAAGGGCCGCATGTGTGACGATTCCGGAAGATAAAATCCTAAAAATGGGTACATTGATAGTCTTCGCTCGGATCCTCCTTGATTTGCCAAATGTTTTCAGAATCTCATTAAGTTGAATAATCATCTGTGAGTGATACTGTGCCCAAAAGGTGTCAAATCCACCGGTGGACGACGACAACCAATCCTTTACTGCTTTATGACCGCTCTCAACCCTAATTAGTGAACATAGGAATTTTTTTAATTCACAACTAATATTAAATTACGATTTATATTGCACAAGTAATATTAAATTACCTGTTTGTCGAGGTATTGCCGAGGTGGAATACACAATCTGTTCATACACGAACAAACCTATCTTTGTATATGAGCCAAGTCGTTTCTAGGTACTCGAGTAGATCCGGATTGTTTCTGTACTCATCGACCATCGCCGCAAGGTTACTTTCGTATTGTGTAACAGATAGTGAAGTTACAACTCTTTGCCAAACCTCACGAACGAAGGTAATTCCTCGAGACTTACTGTTACCCAAGCATTGTGCAGCACGACGACCCACATTCCTATTGATATGGAATGTGCATAGAAGATGATATGACTATGGGAACACATTCTCTAACCCCTTTATCAGCCCCAATTCCCTATCAGTCACAACGACCCCCGGTACATTGTTTGGGAGGTATAGTTTTCTCAAATTGTTCAACGCCCACGTATAATGATCTTCATTTTCATGGCGCATAAATGCCATTGCAACAGTAAAATTCAGACCCTCAGAGCAAACACCAATAATCTCCAACAAAGGCATTTTGTACACATTTGTTTTGTACGTACAGTCAAACAACAAAACGTATGGAAACAGTCTCAACATTTCGACCGACTGAGAGTGTGCCCACATCAGATCAATCACTTCATGCGTAGTTGGATCAATGCGGATCCACTTATAATACTTATGTTCCTCAAGCAACCCAACCAAATGCGGCATAATTGTATGTCCGCCTCTAGCCTCTTTTTTCATTTTCGCCTTTTCATTGTATATTTGTCTCAAATGCACATCTTGTGCCAAGTTCTTCTCTTTCAAATGTATTAAAATCTTCTTCGGCGGAACATGACTTTTTGCCAACATCCGAGTGATTTCCACCTCCTCTTCAGTCATTTTCGTAGACCCAAGCCCAAACAAATATACGGGATCATGATTATGCTTCCCATATAATATTCTAATTCCCCATCTATCCCCGTAATGTTGCTCTCCCACCAAGTAAAATTTACAATTAATTTTCTTTGTGCCCGACCATCTCTTGTTTGGCACATCTGTGTCTGTTTTACTTGGTCTCTTCACCCCAAATAGATCACAAGTAAGATATGCTCTATTTGAAGGGCTACTACGGCTCACCAACTTTACACCAAGATTATTGGCGGTCGTTCTCGCCCATTCTACCATCTCAATCCTCGAGTTAAAAAGTTCCGGTACTATAAAATGCTCACTATGATCAACTTCAAATGTAGAAGAATTTTGTTGTTGCTCTTCCTGAAATAATTATAAATAAAATAAGGTTAAAGAATAATAACAATAAAAAAAATAAAAAATAAAAAAAAAAGTGTTCCGCTCCCAAACCGGACGCGGGAATCGGTTTTGGGCAACCAAACCGGACGCGGGTGGCAGTTTTCCGCGCCCAAACCGGACGTGGTTATCGGTTTTTGGCGCCCAAATCGGCCGCGGGGAGTAGTTCTCCGCGCCCGAACCGGACGCGGGAAATACTTGTTCGCGTTCGAACCGGGCGCCGAGTACCGTCCCATGCGTTCGGTTTGGACGCGGATCTAGGTTTTTCGCGCTCAGTTTAGACGTGAGACGTATTTTTGGGCGTCCAACTTGGTCGTGAGTCTTGTTTTCGCGATTTAAAGAACAAAAACGAACAAATTTTAACTCATTGGATTCCGTATCTCGATCCTCATTCGATGCACTCATTTTTTTTTTCAAATGGCTACAATAACATGTGTTTTGGAATGATTTCTAATATAAAAGCTAAAATTGTAGAGAGAGAAATAAAGTAGAGAGTGGATTTTTTTAAACCCGCATTCGTAATTTTGCTACCGCGAATATCACCTCCCGTTAAGGAAACACCCCCTTGCAAAAATAATTAGAGAAAACTCCCTTAGCTAATATCCACTCATGTGCTATTTTCATAATTCCAAAAATACCCTTAAATTGTCTATTATACTCTTTCAAAACCCTAATCTTATGTTTAATTTTTCATCCGCCGTTTTCAACGTTCCAGCTTTTCTCTTCGTCTCTCTTTTCTCTTCTTCTTTGTTTTCTCTTCTTCTTTTTCTTTTTTTTTTCTCCTCTGTTTTCTCCGGCAATCTTCTCCGCCTCTGCCGCCGGAAGATGGAGAAAGAAAGAAGAGGAAGCACCCATCAAATATTATAAATGATCTTGATAGCGATTCTGAATTCGAATGCCAGGATTGCTACATCGGAGACGAAAAGAGGTAAGATTGTCGTTTTGTCGCCGGAATCGGATTTTGATGGGTGGTGGTTCTGTTTTGGTTGGTGGTGCGAGTTGTGATTTTATTTATTTATTTGTAATAAAAAACCGTCATAATGTCAAAGTAAGGTGGTGATGGTGTGTTGTGGCGGCGGTGTGGTGACGATGGGGAGGCAGATTTAGGGTTTTTTGTTGAATTGGGCGGAGGACGGCGCCTGTAGAGAATTTCGCGCAGGCTGAGACATTAATCGACTATGTACATGTTCATAGTCGATTAAGCTAATCGACTATGCTCTGGTAGTCGATTAAGGTTAATCGACTCCAATTTTTTTTTTTTTTTGAAATTGTTATTTATTGATTCGAATTGTATAAATCATTTATAATGTTTGTATATTTTTTATTTTTGTAATATATAGTTGATTTTGCATTTTTTCGCAGTTGTGATTTGTTATTTTTAGTAGCAGATTCTTAATCGACTATGCTTCACATCATAGTCGATTAATATGCTTCATTGACTCCAATTTTTAATTTTTTTTATTTATTTTTTTGTTTATTGATTCCAATTGTACAAATCAATTATAATGTTTTTATATTGTTTGTTTTTGTAAAATATAGTTGAGTTTGTATTTTTGTAGTTGTGATTTGTTATTTTTAGTAGTCGGTTCCTTAATCGACTATAGTTCATCATAGTCGATTTAATATGCTTCATAGTCGATTAACATATCTGATAGAGAAAAAAAGTTAAAACACGAAAAAAAAATTAAAATTAAAAAAAAATAAAAAAAATTAATTTTTTTTAAATTAAAAATAAATAAATATAAATAATAATAATAATAAATTAATA